GTAACAGTTATGGGATAAACAACAGACCTAAAAACTGTGTTTTGTTATCATAAGTTATCTTGAAGTTCTTTGGAAAGAATCCTTCATATGTCGGTATTATGCTGTGTAAAATTCTGCCTGATAACCTCTTAAAAATAAGCAACTAAAACATTTATGTTAACCAAGTCTGTCTATCGTCTAAATTTATTTATTGATTGATTGTGGTTTTATTTAGTACGTTATTAGTTTACATTTTTATTTAGCCGCTTTAGATATAGTTTGTATTCAAGATTCATTTAACTGTGAAGTATCATTCTTGTGCAATATGCATCTATTTATATATAGTTCAACTTTGAAAATCTTTGTACAACTAAATCTAGAGTTCTACTGGACCGATTGATTAATTAGTGGGTCATTGGAAAGCTTAATTCATGTAGATTTGCAAATAATTATGAACGTTTTTAGCGAATCCTACTAATATTATAAATGAGAAAGTTTGGATGTTTGTGACAAGTGAACGCGAAAAATACTGGTCGGATTGGGCTGAAATTTGGCATGATGATAGCTCACATTCCCGATTAACATATAGGCATATTCTTATTTCAAAAATCCTTTCGGGCTCCGCCCCAGTGGCTCTGGAGTTTCCCATGTTAACCTTATGAGAAATGGAATTATTGAATCTTAACAGCTGTTTCAATTAAACAAGTTGGTTCTGTTCTATGATGTTCGATAGCATTAAAAGTTACAAGGATTACCAACAGGGTGCAGCACTATTATTTCTTTTACATTTATGACAACAGCTAATTTGCAACCAAAAGGTGAGTGAGCGTAGCGAACGAACTTCAACCTGGAGGCGAGTTAGCGTAGCGAACGAGCTAACCTGAAGGCAAGTGAGCTCAGCGAACGAGCTCCAACCTAAAGGTGAGTGAGCGTAGCGAACAAACTTCAACCAGGATGTGATTGAGCCATGCGAACGAATTAATCTTGAAATTTAAGAAGTTAAACGGGGCAAAGCCCGCGGGTTACAGCTAGTTAATAAATAAATAAATTAGACTAACACTTTGTAAAACTTGGTGAGAACAGCACTAACTATGTCGTAACACTACAAAACCACAGATAGGAATGAACGTTTCCGTCATGTATTTCCCTACTCCTAGAGAGAGTGTTGGAATTTTTACCATAAAAATGTTGCAAGAGAGGGTGATAGTGTGAATTATAGGTATTCCTTGGTCCATCGGCCGGTGCCTAGAGGGGTGATGACCCAAGGACTAGGGTTGGGGCTGATGACTCACCCAGCCAGGTATCAAGTGGTGGCAAATGACACAAATCCTAGAGTGGTGGCAAATGACACTGGTGGCAAATAACACATATTCCATCTCGAGATCCAGACCTCTTTCATACCGGATTGAGCGAAATCCTCGCTGAAAAGGCTCACTCGCAGATTTGTCAACTTGAGGAAAGCTTTCTCAAACTTTTCAATTAATCTAGCTCGAGAGCAAACGTTAAACAAGTAGTCTAATTGAATGTGTTTTGAATCAAGCTTTTGAACTGCATTTTGGGTAACTTTCTCAACTTTGATATTTAGGATAATTTCCTCCATGTATATAGTGCAACGACGGATTACTATCTGAACAGAATGGAAATTTCTTTATTAGGCAAATTAATATTTTACAATTCATTGACCAAATTAGTTAGTTTGCCAAAGAGAGAAGGTTTAGCCAAAGTTACTATAAACAGATGATTCATGTTATCTATATGTACTTAATAATTTTTCTTTGGTATGGCAATTTTTCTTAGAAACGTAGTTATTTTAAGCAAGTATGAATGGAGATGAGTGTAGAATGAGTGGCGTGATCTTGTAGTCTTGCTGTTAATTAATAGCCCATATAGCTAATGACAACTAAAGGACCTGGATTGACTGGGTGAACCTTAACACTTCTGGTTGAAATATTTACACAAAGATTTAATAAATTCACGCAAAATATAAAGAAAACCCAATCATTGCCCCATAAACCCCGTTCCCATAGTCCTATCATGCTAGTTCGCGAACTCGTTCGAATAAGGTAGGTTTACACGTTTGTACCAAATTTCATCAATATCGGATCATTTTTGCTTAAGTTTTCGTGCTAACAGACACATATATAAATAAATAAATTATATATATGCAACAACCTTTTTGCCTAGAATTTTATAGTTGTTTATGGCTTCAAATTCTCTTGAGAATTGATTGGCCCCCAAGGTCTTGCGATTTTACACCGTCAGACTTTTCTATTTAAAAAGATAAAGTTATTTCCAAACGGCCCCAGATGTTCTGTAATTGAGATCAGCCATCGCAAGAGAATTTGAAGCCTTAAAAAACAATACAAATCGATGCAAAAAGATTTCTGCAAGTGTGCAAAATAAAGATTGTTTCAAGTGTAAAAATAAACTCTGTGACAAATTCATTGAAGTTTGTAGAAAGCATTTTGAACAGTTCTTTTAATTTACAACCTAGGTGTAGAGTAAATTTAATTTCAATAAAACTATAATATAAATAAAATTGATTCATTATTTGCTTTAAACAAATACACTTTACTCGGTAAACTGATTTTCGAAACACCCGGTATAAGTTATGTACCTATATGAATTTAAACGGATGGTGTTGTTGGCCTCTGGGGACCTTAAAACGGAAAAGTAAATCGGTCCCGGATTCAGGTTTTACCATGAGACCTACGGTAATAGCTTATTCCTTATAAAGGTATGGGAAATTCACTTAAAGAACAACAGTTGAAACTATGTTAAGCTTAACATTATAATACCTGACTGAACAAGCAGATTAGCCCTACATCAAACAACTAACTTTGTCCGCAATATCATAGGCAACCAAGTATTTTAAGAAATTTGAATTAAGAAAACTAAGTACCCTTAAAAATTGATTTTGTTAGGTAACAAAATGGTTGTGTAATAAAATTAATGTTAAAAGTGTACATAGTTTTCAATAATATATTCAAATTTCAAAATAACAGCCCTAACTACTAATTGTCATAATATATATATATATATATATATATATATATATATATATATATATATATATATACATATATATTTGTGTGTGTGTGTGTGTGTCCGTTAGCAGGATAACTCTAGTAAAAACAATTATTCGATTTTGAATGTTGTAGGTACAGTACGAACGTGAAAACCTACGTTTATTCGAACAAGCTCGCGAACTAGCATTTTAGATTGTGGTAACGGGATTTTATAGGGTCAAAAGTGATATTATTCTCATTTTCCCCCCTCAAAACATGGAGTCCCCCAATTTCCCTCCAAACAATTTTGTAGATCTCAAAAAACAATTAATTTGGTACCTTAAAGTATTTTGTACAGTTAATAGTTACAGACTTTAAAAAAATGAAAATTTAAAATTCTTATTTTGGTTGTATGGAAGTGACCTGCTTCAGTTTGCTTGTTTATGGTCAACATATTTTGGTCAAATTTAGCAAATTGGTTTATTTTATCCTTACATTTCACATAAAAACACCTCATTACCTTCCCTTTAGCAGCAAACCTAAGAAGCCCTACTTGTTCAACCTAATGCTATAAATAGGGAATAACTCTGACATATTTAAGAAATATTTAAGTGAACAACAATTGTAAATGAAAATTCGCTTATTCTCCAGGTTTGCTGCTGCGGCGGTATTATAATGTTAAAGGGATATTGGAACCAAAACAATACAAAATACTTAGATGGATTTTGAAAGAAAGTTGTTTACTTTTAAACCTACAATGAAGACATTAAATGACTAACGTTTCAAAATAAATTCTTACCTTAATCAATTGGTAAGTTAATTTTTCTAAAACGTTGTCGTACGAGAATTGTCAAGGAATTTTGAGTTTTCTTCAATTTTTCTATACACTTTATAACACTTTTATATAGATTTAGGTTTGATAAAATATTAACCTTGAAATTTGAAAGAACCGTTTTTATACTGTATTTATATTTGAAACATAAACCACCAGTGCCCAATACAAATTAGCAACTATTTTATTGAAATAATATCTGTTAAAACCCATCTACCCACAGCCATTGATAGCCTATGGGTTTTTGGTTTCACAAGCAATGTTAAGTGTCAATTCCGTTATCACAATTTCACATTATGTATAGAGAGGATGCTATAAAATTCAAGCTTGAAGAGTGTAGACATTCGAGGAAAGTGGTAAAGGTGAACTTTGCCTTTGGTTTGGGAAATAGCTAAAGTTTGTTATCAGTTAGGAGTAAACTTGCGAAACTTGACGGTATCCCTTCTCAAGTGGTGGTAAACAATTTGATTCTTACTTGGAAAAATAGCCTGTAAAACTTTGTAAACTGTTGACAGACTTTAATCCTAAAGTAAACTTGCCGCTTGATGTTTGTGAAAAGAAAAATTTATAAATGGGAAAAACTTTTGCCTTATGAAACAATAACGATTTAAGTTGATTTTTAAAACACGTTCACTAAGTAGTGCACTCAGCGACCAATAAATTTGTTAATTGAGCATAGTTTCTTGTTATACTCTTAGCCCATTACTTGGTGTCTAAGTATGCTTGATCGGGTACACGATCACATATTTAAGCACTATGTACTTGTACATTGCAAAAACGATTGGTACACTATGTCTAAGATTTAGTTTCGCTCTCGGCTACATTTTACTACTGCCTATATAGCTGCGTCTAAGATGCCCATTACCCACACGATTTATTTGAGAACTTCAGTTATACACGTAAATAAAAAAAAAATAAACAAAATATTTCTAGGTGCTTAAAACTTGGTACTAGTGTATTTAATTTTATGTATTCCAAACTAAATGAATTGTTTTTTTATTTAATTTTACGCAATAATTTTTTTTGTTATTTTTCTTTGTCGTGGTTCTTGTTGCCATGCTCCATGGTATTCGGATCCGTACTACTGCTGTTAAATCAACCAACGTTGAGAAATAGCATATGAGTATTGTTAGTTCAAGTATTCGTTACAAATATCTAATTATGACTAAAGATGTATTGTTTTCAGATTAGTTGCCAGGGAAGGATGTGACAGATCAAGATGGACAATGTCACGGACTGGGGAGATGCAGGTTTTGAAAATGGTGAGTTTTTTTTAAAGTTCTCTTCTAATATACCTATTGTTTCATTATCCAAGATACCATTCTTACACAGGCTACAACGTAAAGACTTGCAAAGAGTGGCCAAACGAAAACACAAACTAAACTTTTCTATATTTTATTATTTTAGTGCTCATTGAAAACTGAAATATAAAGAAGCTATAGAGATGCTTTTAGCTGTCATTTTTCATTCTTTCACCCATTCATAGTAGGGCCTATATCCCGTATTTCGATATTAGCTCCTGTCTTTGACCATCAACTTTGGAAACTGTAGAGGTACGTAACCTTAGTCATTTCGTTTCTAGAGATAAAACTGAATAAAAAATTAAGATTACGTACGCTTGTTAACTACATGTTTTGTTCTCCAGTCACCAAGTCTGTGACCAGAGCTTTGCCGTATGACCTCCTCAACCACCGTCTCTACAGGGGCCAGGAGACCCCCCCTTGGGACGCAGTGCGTCTACAACTCAGATGGTTCTTTCTTCTTCATGCATACGGATTTGCATGCTCGTTTTTTATCTTAGCCTTTTATGCCTTTTTCTCAATACTTAATATTAGGTAAGTTTAAATCCTTTTTGAATAAAAGTTGTCTTTTGCACATTAGTTGGACGAATTGCTTAGCTTGTATGGGTTTTTAGTTCAATAGTTAAGCAAAAATATGAATAATTTGAATTTAATAAGCTGGAAAAATTAATTTTTGTTCTTTGCTTTTTTACGTATTCATTTATTTGCTAGAGAGGAGAGTTGAAGCTAGTCCAGACCAACATCCGCGTTTTTTACTAACAAAAACACCAACACCAACTTAAAAAAAAACTTTATATCAATCTGAGTGTTTATAACAAATTTGTTTAAGATTTGAAAAGAAGAGTCTCTGTCTCTGCAAAAGTAAATATGATTTTTTAAATGTCCAGTTTTCCTCTAAACAATATCAAAGGACGATTTTTAGGCCCAAAGCTTAAGTGAATTTCCTCTTCGGGGGAGGCTATTGCAGTAGATGGAATGATAAGAGCGGGAACAATTTACTTGTTTTTATTTTGATATCCCCAGAGGCCAGAAACACTTTTTTTTGTATTTGTATGTATTAGTACTGTAGGTATATACGTTCTTATGTGTGTGTATGGACACAACAACTCGAGTTGCCTAATTTGTATCATATTTTGATGAAATTTGGCATAAATGGAAAGTTACGTAGTTTTGAAAGTTTTAAAAATTGTTCTTTTTTAAATTTTACCTTAAAATATGAAAATTTGTAATTCAGGTGATACAGCCCCCATCTCAATGATTGACAATAGTTAAAAAATCCATAATGTAAGATTATAGCTTAAAAACTTTATTTTTATTTTGAAGCATTGTTGTTTGATTAAGGTTACGGACAATATTCCAAATACTGTACATTTAGCCTTCAATTCCTATGTTATTCTAACGGATTGTAAAATTTCCTGCCAACTAATGTGAATAAGACATCAGTAATTTAAAATATCTTATATCATTTTCAATCTGTACTTATCTAAATTTTATCCTATGTCTATGGCAGTATAAATGAGTTGTCATATAACACTTAAAACTAAACTGCATGCATTTACACTAAATTAGTCTGTAGTACTGGGTAGCTATTTCCTTTCATTCTACTGTATATCTATTAACCTCAATGCATGTCCATTGACAGTAAAAGGTAAAAACATACTAATTTCCTAGGAGTTAGCAAGTACTTATCTTACTTTTATTTGATTTTTAAAAATTTATTTTAAAACTGATTTGCATGGTAAAAGATTTGTAGCACTTTCAACAAAATAACAACCACAATAGTTTGCAATCACGCCAATTCCTTTTGTTACAACTTAGAGATCAAGGTCGAACGCTACTAGAACATAAACATGTGAACTAAAGGGACTTTTTATTATTTGCTTTTGTGCAAAAATAAAACAATGTACTTAAAACAAAAAAGTAAATTCCTCTTTTCCTTAATATAAAAATTACCTACGTTCAAACCACACAACAAGCCCACATTCTATTTTAAAAGATGACTATGCCGGTTAGTGGGGAAAATGTTTAAATTGGAATATATCAATTTTTAATAAACAGAAAATCTATTATTGCTCTGTGTTAAATTGAAAATTATCTATGTGATAATCATTAGCTTATCACTGACTTGTAATTTTTTCAAGCAAACCTTGAACATAACTTTGTTATTATAGTTTTTCAAAATATTATTGAAACAACTATGAAAACACAAAATCTAACTTAAATCCTTTCCTTCTTTACATTTAAACTAACTAGAGGTCGTCCAGTGGTCGAAAACTCGAACAAAAAAATCTAATGTACAGACTTCTATAAATAAACAAGTGATTGGAATTTCTTCCGTTTGTTTTGATTTTCTGTTCATATTTCGTGGTTATTTCCTCACCCCAGCTGGCAACCCATAGGGCTCATGTTAGTAAAAAAAATATTAATTTTTGTCCTTATTTTTGAGCCTATTTAAATTTATAAAGGTATTCTGCACATCTACAGGCAAATATCTTTCTAACAGTATGCTTAGGTTTCCCCTGTGATGCACACGAGCTACGAAAAAAGGTTTTAAAGAAACATGCTTGCCTATTAATATATAGGATGTGACTAATGTTGGTGGGACAATACATATCGTGTAGAAATAATAGTAACAGCTGATGCTCATTTGTACTGTAAAAGTACAAGAAGAAAACATTTTTGGAGCTAATTTATTAACATAGCAATATTTTACTTGAATTCACCAAAACATACTTCACAAAATCCTATCAAAACAATATATAACGTAAGTTTTTCTTCTTCACATTTCATACAAATAGCATTACAATATTTTACTTGAATTCATTAAAACATCACCAACTGTAACGATAACCCCATTTTTGGGTGGATGTAAACAAAATTGTATCATGACCTTCCTGTTTTGACGTAAACAAATAAATGTAAATTGGAAAAAGTTCAGATGATTTGCAACAGGATTCAGCACAAACACTGAAATTTTAAAAGCCTATAAGACGAAGGGCTTTCACGGGATATAATTCAAACCTGCAAAAGACACATCTAGAGGATAAGAGCTTTAAATTGGTACCCAATATGCATATAAAAATAAATATTTAGGAGTCGATTTGCAGTACACAAAAATCTAACAAATTCTTTTAATAATATATATTCAATCAGAGCAAAGCTCGGTCACCTGGAACTATATCTATGAAACATGTTGTGTTGATCATCTCAAACTACCATTTTGATAATCAAGATTTTGTCTTAAACACCTACAATAATTAAAAATTAAAGTTTTGTAAATCGTTATTTTATTGTTAACAGTCGATACACGTTTCTCAATAATGATTTTCCAGGTCCCTAATCACAAGCCGGCCATTTATGTCTACCATCAACGTTTTCCTTTGCCTCCTGGGAGCTTCTAGGGCAGGATCTCTCTTCATTGATCCATACAACCTAAAAGAGGTAAATGAGCTTATTTCAAAACTTATCTGTAAAAGTTGACATATGGTCGAATAAATAGTTTAATCCAATGACCAATTAAACTGCAATTATACATTGGAATCCTAGGTTGTCTCTTAAAGGAACTTCTATCGTTTTAAAAGTGATTTCATCCCTTAGAAGTTCTTTAGAGACAACCTATGATTCAATTGTAGCTTTTTTGGTCGTTGGATTGGAACAAGGCAACACAGAGTTGCCTTGAATGGAACCATTGAATTATTGGACCAAAATATGGTAAACTTTTTACCAAATGGAGATAGAATCACTTTCAAAACGATCTCTATTATGAATATACTAGCTGTTTGCCCGTTCTACGTACGGGAATCTTGTAGTAAGTTGAAACCCTATATTCAGAACAGGAGTTGGTTTGCATATTTAATGTGCATTTTTCCAGATATGCTGGCAAAACTATTACTGTATAGGAATACATATACAGCATCGCACAGCATGTACAGCTTCGCAAATACAATATCTGACAGTTTCAAAGCCAAAACGAATGCTTCGCAATTAAATGTCACCCGATCGTGTTAGTCCATATTTTATATCTAATGATAAAAGGAATTGCTTTATAGATCTATAGCCCTAAGGTAGACCTGTAATTGAAAGATACTTTTCACACTGGTTAAAAGTAGTTAAAAAAAACTACCTCAACCTCACTAATGCACACTTTATTCGGGTTGAAATTTTCAATAACAAAGGTGCTCTTGTCTTTTCCAAGAAACACTGAGAAATAAGGACATTAATGCGTTACCAACAGACATACACACACAATAGCAGAATTGAATTAGGGGATTTTCTACGCTTTAACCAAAGCAAATTACAAACAAAATAATTATTTGAAGGTTTTGATAGTGTCATCAAATGTTATGATAATCGTTTTTAGGCCTAATCAAACTGTAAAATTTGTGTAAATCCGTTGGTAAATATATAAATAAGTAAATAAATACACAAGTCTTTTAAGTTTTCGAGAATCAAAGTTATTTCCCAATAATATTTGTAAGCAACTTTCAATGTTAACATATTAATGACAGTTTGAAGAAACCACCTTTATCCAAACAAAGGTTTCTTATGTAAAAGATTACGTAATCTCTCTCTAAACGATAATTGGTACATATATCTAGCAAACATTCGGAGGAAATGTGACAAAAAACGCACAAATCTGGGGTTTTGGACGTTTGTAGTTTTACTTCCTAAGTAGGAAAAGTACCGATATCGTTGTCGAAATGTAAGTAGTAAAAACCAAAAGTGACACATTGGAAAAGCGAGTTTAGCTACATCTGTAAGTTAAACCTCTGTTACGATCACAGCAAAATCAGAAAGATCTTCCAAGATCGCAGCAACATCCAGGATCACCCAGTTGTGATTTTTTACTTTGCACTTACCACAACTGTTCTTGAAGCGCCGTCAATGAGTGGAAACCTTTTTTGTAAGGCACAACGTTTTTAATCTGACTTGGTTTGGATGTGCTAACAAAACTTGATCGGAAATGGTTGCGGTATTTGTAAACAACTTTTACTGTAAACATATCATCAGTGACAGCCAGAAGTGAGAACTAATCCAAACAGCTGATCGTTATTTCATCAAATGTAATAGTAAACATTAGGAGAAAATTTGACAAAAATCGAACAAAATTGGGTTTTTGATAACACGTTATTTTGTTTTCAAAGAAGCGAGGCCAGGTTTTTATAGCCAAAGACACTCCCGCCAATCCAGTAAATACAGACAAATGATTAGAACCTTGATCGGTACTCTAGTTTTCTAGGAGTAGGCCGCGTAAAATGACATTTTGGCGTTACAGACGCAACCACAGAATGGACAAACAGCTAGGCAGACATACAGACAGAAATTGAGATAAGACTCGTTACGGCTTTCTTAGGCTATGAAACGTAAAAATAACCAAAAACAGCATGATTCTAAGCAATGTACAGACAAAACTGTAATTTTATTTATATAGATTATTGAACCATAACCATAAGGATAAAGTAAATAATAGCTCCTGTAATTTTGTATTCATCTATGGGTACACTATATAAATTTATACATAAAATGTAAATTGATGTTACGTTTATTTATAGTGTATAGCCATGCCTGTACAACTGTTTTATTACTTGCACTTTTAGAGACATTTTTGGGGGATTCTCAAACACTTTGAAGGACAAGTGGTCCAATTCACTAAAATTGCTGTGGTTGTTATACAAATTGACAACATAACTATTACTCTGGAGTCTGAGACCCTAACCGCTAGGTTGGCAACACATGACATGTGTATTAATTATATTTGCCAGGTTGCAATAATTAATTATAGTGTGTTGTCACTACTAATAATGATGGCATTACAATGCAATAGGCATATTACCAACTAAAGTAATTTACTATATTTGCAACAAAAAAAACAGCAAGATAAAATTAATTTTTTTGGTATTAAAAAGGTTTAAATACCTGCTATCAAGCAATCCATTTAATTGCAGTTGCAACTAGTTTTGACTCCTATGTGGAGTCATCTTCAGGCGGTAAAAGGACCGCCGTGAGGAAAGAGGTTTCTTTCTTCACATGAAGAGCGTCATATTTAACACGTAAAAATAAATAAACATTTACACACGACACTAAACACGTTTACAGACACGAAACATTTACTGATCAGTTACGACAACATACGACACTAACCCGGCGGAGTTTAAGTCCAGACTAGATTTTAATTTTTAAAATCCAGAGTTTAATTTTTTGGGATTTTTTTGCCTACTTTTTGTTATACAATTCATGTCTTGCCAATAAAATAGATTTTTTTATTATGTTTCAGACGTTACCTGTGTACTTTGGCTCCGTAATCTGGGACATAGGTTTTCCTAGCATCATGTCTGCATTTACACTGGTCCAGTTGGCATTTCTGCATTTAACACAGGTTGGTTGCTTTTATACATACAGTACTAGTACACTGTACAGGTTCCAGAAATAAAACAGATAAACTTCCTCAAAATTATCTTGAAATAAATTGAAAACTTATCTAAACATTTAAAAACTAAAAATACCTCTGCTGCAGTAAACCTGCAGACTTAGCAAATTTCCATTTACCTGGTTGGATTTTCACAAAAATATTCCCTAGAATATTTATTTTTTCCTATTTAAATAAAATACATTTTAATGTGTACCTACTTATGTTTGGTGCTACGGGGATGGTCCCGGTAATAAGATTTGTTTAAAAAAAATTTGTATAAATTTTAGGAAATAAATTGCTAAGTTTCATGTTTGCAGGTCAAAATAGGAAAAACCAAAACAGTCTTTTAACCCATAAAACCCTGTTCCCATGGCCCAATCAGGGTAGTTCATGAACTCGATTAAATGTCGGCTTTCGGGTTTGTACAAACTTTCATCAAAATCGGATACATTTACTCCAGTTATCGTGCTAACAAAACACATGTACATATGAATTTGAACGGATTGTGTTTTCCGCCTCTGAGAGCATTAAAACAAAAAAGTAAATTGGTCTCCGGTCTAGGTTTTACCATGAGAGCTACGGTAATTGCTCATTCAATATTTATGGAAAATTCGCTAAAAGCAAAAAAAAAAAAAAATGTAAAGCCATATACAAGAAAACTATATTAGTTTTGTCTTCTTACAAAAAAGATTGGTCCCAAAGAGGAATTGAATTGCCTTCAACGTTTTTTTTAGTGATGTACCTACCAAACAAACTTTAACATTTAAAAGTGTAAAAATTAATTGAGGTACTCATCAATTGCTACTGATTAATTCATTGCTGCTTAAAAAAAGAGACACGATAATGTATTATCTTGTCAAAGAAGAGACTGGAGCAACAAGGGATGAAGCTAATCCAACCAAGAGCCGAGACGATTTATTATCCGACAGAGACTGATGGCTTACAACTTAAGACTGGATCGGACAAGCAACAAGTCATACCTCTCTGTTATGATTACCGTAACAAGTTATTTTCATTGAGAGTTTTATACAAACTTAACTAAATAATGTTCCAGTTAATGCTACTTATGATAATGCTACTGATAATAATAACTATAATTTAATTGCTTGCCAAGTAGCTTCAATGAGTTAAGTTACCAAATCAAAGCTTTATTTGATTTGTTATAAAGTGAATAAGGACTTTTTGAAAGTACAAGAAAGATTTTTATTTTAAATTTGGTACCACTATTAAGCAACTACCTATTTCACAAAACCGTTAGAAAAATTGCATAAACTTTTAAGCATATAATATATTTCCTGAAATGTTAGTGACAAAAAGTTGTAACTTTGTATCATAATTTCCTGAAATACGAGGAAAATCTGTCAAAATCATGTCCTCGTAAACATGATTTTGATTTGATATCTTTCCTTCAGACAATGACCAATTTGTTGCTTTTTCCATAGTAATATTCAATTCTAGTTCTAGTTATTTAGGTACAGACTAATGATTTCATTGAGTTGAACCAATAGTGACTATGATGATAAACATTTTTCAGCTCAAGCTGGGTCCAGAGAAGATGCGGAACAAGTCCTGCTTGTCCCTAGTGATCACAGCTCATTTCACATGTGTTGTGGGTTTTGATGTTATTCTCGCCATCTACCACAGCTTCCATGTAAGAATTATGATTTACTGTAGACCTACTCTAAACTATTGTGGTTGATAATCCATCTGTATTATTGGTATCATCTGTATATTAACAGATGATAAGCTCAACAATTTGTTTTTGATTAGAATTAGGTTGGCTAAAAAACTAACGAATCGCTATACATTGACCATCGATCTCTATTATTCCTACATTGACCCATGGTGGAAGGAAAAAACATAGGTGTGATACTCCCGTCATAGGCTGACATCACCCAGATTGCAAATAGAAAATCACCTGATTGTAACTCTGCCATAATTTTTTTATTATTATTGTTTTTATAATTTTTCTAATTGGTGAAATGGTGTTTGCAATCTGGGTGACGTCAGCATATGATGGGATAGCGCACTTATTTTTTCCTTCCACCATGGCCTTCCAGTATGACGGGAATATCAGACGTATGTTTTTTCCATCCACCATAGCATTGACCTACCCTCGGTTTTCTAATTGTAATACCATTCAATTAGGAAAGTGTAACTATAATCAACAGTGGTGAAAACTGACAGTTAGAAGTAGAAGAAATTAAAACCACATGGAAGGTATGGGGCTATACACTATAAATAAACGTAACATCAATTTACATTTTATATATAAATTTATATAGTGTACCCATAGAAGTAAAGACAGGGCTGATCCCATCAAATCAATAGTCAATAAGATCAATGATCAAATCAATAGGGAATCTGATATAGTCATCTGCAACTAAGTTAACTTGTTCTCTCAGTAAAATTTGAATCATATAGCAGTTTCTAATAGAGACTTATTAGTCTTATTAAAACAACAATAAGCTAGCATCACAATTAATTTCAAAAGGAAGAAGTGAACTCTTTTCGTGCTATAGTTGCTGTTCATCCATTCCATCTACCTATGAGCCAAGTGCTCTTTTCTCCAAAAGTGTCCTTTAACTCCATATACTGTTAAAATTCTTTGGCCAGTTTGTACAGGTGATGAGAGTGGTGTTAGAGACTACATTCCTGGTGTGGGGAGTGTTCCTGTGCTGCACCTTCCTCTACGCTGGCTACCGGGTGATGGCGCTGCTTAGGAATATGTCAGGCATACTGCTGATGCAGCGAGATCATACGGCCAGCCAGTACAAAGGTCAGGCATGTTCAACGCTGTAAATGTTTTGCCTAAGCCGTCCCAACACCAAGAAGCGTTGGTCCAACCCTGCTTCTGTCCGGCTTTCTTATCTTACTTTCCTGAGGGTATTTTTTTGGGAAATAATATTTTTCCCGTTATCTTATGGGATTTTATGGTGAAAATCACTAAAGTTACAACATCTTTTGAATCGAAAATTTTACAGTAGTGGGGTTAGTACCATTTTGTTAAGAGTTCAAAGTGCTACAACATACTACATTTTAATAAAAATCGTCTAAGCTGTTTTATTGTATTTCCATTTTTGGATATTTTATTGGGTTTAAGGAAAAAAAAACACCATTAAAAAGCCAAATTTCAAAAGAATTTGAATTCAGGTGTAGTCTGTAGCTCTATAAACTTACACACATATGCACACACGCACATACATCACTTCGAAAACCTCTTTTTGGTTTCAGGAGAATCCAAAACGGATATCTATATCTATAAAAGAGGAACTATGTACGTATGTGTGTATATATGTTATGGACTCCGAAACCACTCGACAGATTGTATTGAAACTTTCAGGCATTATTAAGCATCTTTCAAGGATGGCTTGAGTAAAGTTTGGTGCAGATCCGTCAAAAGGGCTCTGCCCCAGGGGGTTTTAAGTGGGCCAATGTCAGACTTTTTGATCTACAATGTTTACAAATAAATATAATTTAAAAACAGATGTTTACTTTCACCAACTGTTCTACCAACTGTTTTATAGGTTTGAATAATCACAACATTCTGTATTAGCATTAGTCATGATTTGAAATAGTGCCACAGTGTTTCTACAGAGTGCAGCACAGAAAACTATTTTACTTTTCAAAGAGTCCAAATGTATTAAACCCCAATCGCAGCACACTGTCGACCTGTGCACTCAAAAATGTTTAAATTCTCCAGTGTTAAATATTAAATATAGGGAATAAGCTATTACTGTAGTACTCATGGTAAGACTTGGACCCGGGACCGATTTTATTTTTCATTTTGAGGTCCCTAGAGGCCAAAAACACCATCCGTTCAAATTCATATATATATTCCCTATATGGGAAATTCGCTAAAACATAAAAACCTTTATCAAAGTATTATAAACAATAAAAGGGATAACAATGCCTTAGTATTTTTTCGTTCTACCCACACAATCTAACATAAATTATTAAGTGACTAATAATCGTGCGTGCTATCTCGGGTATTCAAATGCCTCTCAGTTTGTCATCAACCCACCACATTACTGTCATTAAAAGAAGGAACTCCAATAATACTAATGTGAAACTTAAATCCACTTAAGCTGTACAACGTTACCAGACTAACGATTAAAAAAATGACGTCAAAATTGATTGAAGCAAAAATTATCAGTGGTAGGTTTAAGGGAGAAATAGTCTTAATCATAAGAATACTGATGATTTCATTCGAATTACCCTCTGAATTTAAGCAACTACAATTTCCTGAGTGTCTTGCTTTCGCAATCACCATTATAAAGCACTAGGGCAATCCCTGACTATCGTTGGTTTAAATGTAGAAAAAACATGCTTTTCACACAGACAGATGTATTTTGTTAGCGCAGCAACGCGCGCCGGGTAACTGCTAGTTCCTACTAAAAACTCAAACTCAAAAATGTTGACGAAAACGATACTGTCTCCATATTCTTACTAGAAGGTAAAAGTTACAAACTCAATAACTCTGATATATTGAACTGAATAATTTTCTTACTATACTTTATTGGTTGCGTTATTCATAGTGAACGCATTTTTAAACATTCTTGGTACTTTATGTTTCTGCAGGAATCATGCAGCTCGCCATGCTGGCGCCGTACAATAACCTGGCTACATCTGTGGCTGCGGCGCTTGTCCCAACTCTACTGGCGCCCAAGATGAATCTTCTTGGTGGAAACAAGACATCCACTCTTGCCCCAAACCTAGGTACCGCTTTTGGTTCATTTACATGACTTACCACACTCTATAGTCATAAACACAAATAATGAATGATTGAATCTGTTCTAACCCTATTATGTTTGTAAAAGTAAATTCTCATTTGTATATTCCAGATGGACCTTTACCACCTCAACCAAAGCCACCTCTGTCCCCACGCTCATTGTCAAAGCCTTCCACATCCAGTATGGATGAGAGTACAAATACCACAAGTGAGTTTTCAAACATTCCTTTATGTGCTTTTGTGCCATTGTGCTCTTATTGTTTTCTGAGTTCACTTCTAATTTAACACAAATAATACTCAAAGATTTTGATTCTAAAAAAAGAGCATCACAAATACATATACCTACTATAAGAAAAACATGAATAAAACAATATTAATGCAAAGAAAAGAGCAGAAGGTAAATTTACTTTTGATAATTGCATGAATATAAGCTATATTATATAATATGCTTAAGAGGGTTCCCTACCCCCGCCGAAAAACGTCAGAAAACCGCTTTGTGCGGTATCATATAGCGATTCTAGTTTTGACATTTAAATTGTGAACCAAACACCATTTTGTACATAAAGAGTGGTTCTACTAAGTTTGCTTTTTAAAAAATGTCTATGCTTACGCAATCAAGGGCAACGACTTGTCAAAGTTAGTGAACTTTACAGTTAAAGTTCACTAGCTTTGACAAGTCGTTGCCCTTGATTGCGAAAGCATAGACATTTTTTAAAAAGCAAACTTAGTAGAACCACTCTTCATGTACAAAATGGTGTTTGGTTCACAATTTTAATGTTAAAACTAGAATCGCTATATGATACCGCGCGAAGCGGTTTTCTGACGTTTTTCAATGGGGGTAGGGAACCCTCTTAACCAAATCCACTAAAAATGTGCAAAGGTAAAGAGTTCAAATCACAGCATGAATATAGAGCATATTACAGCTATCACATCACATGGGTGTTCACAGTGAGTAGGGGAAGGGGGCTTACAATTTGTAAGGAGTAAAAATAAATCAATTGTAAATGTTAAGGATGTAACATAGAGCACGGGTAATAGGTCTTTAGGATTTTTTGTGAGGCTGGAAGGCTTACCTGAATGGAAAAGAGCCAAAACTGACACATGAACTCTTTCCCTTTCAGGTGAGCCTGCTATTCTAAGCAAAATCCTGTATTGTAAATGTCTGGATGTGAATTCCTAATTCCAAACAGCCTGAATTAAGTTTTATCATAGACTAACCAACACAAGTAGACGTCTCATCCCATTGTAAATTTTGAAGCTCGTTTTTCATGTCTAGTTCATGTACGCCACACTGGGCTCTAGTGTCGACGAAATTTTGTTTCTATTATTTTAGGGTTAATTTCTTGATTTGTGCTTTAATGTTTGGTTAAATAACTAGGGGACAATTTATTGTTTATGATTAGATCGTATTATTTGGTTAAACGAGGTTTTAAATGACTGTATTAACGGGAAACAAAATTGTAAACAAAACACGACCTCTACATAAACCGTACAGAACTAACAATAAAATTGTCTTCAGCTGTTCCATTAGGATGAGAAATCTACTAAGGGAGTATGTTTTATCTATGGTTTTATCTTACTATATGAAATAAAATAAAGAACTAAGTTAAACTCATTTAATCATAGAACAAAACATAACATTATTTGTTTACATGTTCATAATAAACATAAAACCAAATTATCAGCTGATTCCAATATATTACACTTTTCCCTCCTCATCGTCTACCGCACCTTCTCTTCTTCGCAGTTGATCCGAATGTTTTCTTTTTATCACTCCACCACACATGACTTCATACGAGTATAAGCCATTGCGTTTGACTATGGTTCCTGCTATCCAACCAGGGTTATTCTCTTTTTTAATCCATACTTCTTCCCCTTCACTGAATGCTCTTAAGGTTTTCTTTTGAGTTGGATTTTGTTGTTCCTTCAAAATTTTCAGATCTAATTGTTGTCTAAGGTTTGGTTTCATGTTGTCCAACATAGTTGGCATTCTTCGACCAAGAAACAACTCTGCAGGGGCTCGTCCTGTTGTTTTTTGTGGGGCATTTCTGTAACTGAACAACACATTTTGCAATGCCAATGAAGAATCATTAATTTCTTGTTTTGTTGTTCTGTAACGCCTTTTCAAAGTCCCTATTAGACGTTCAACTAAGCCATTACTTCTAGGATGATAAGGAGTAGTTCTTATATGTCGAATTGAATGTCTCTTGAAAAATGCTTCCATTTCAGTAGAGACAAACTGTGGCCCGTTGTCAGTTACTACTTGTGATGGTATCCCATACCTGCTCATCCACGATCTTAATCTTTGAATTATGGCAGTTGAAGTCGTTGTTCTTAAACATTCAACTTCTGCCCACTTAGATAGCGCGTCAATCCCTACTAACCACATTACTCCATCAACTGGTCCAGCTAAATCCAAATGAACTCTTTCCCACACTTTTTCAGGAATGTTCCATGGATAGACCGGGACTTCTTCAATGTTTCCTCTGTTTTCTTGACATGCTTCACAAGTCTTAACATGCATTTCAACGTCTTTGTCAATGTCAGGCCACCATACATAGTATCTGGTAATTGATCTCATAGCTGAAATTCCAGGATGGCCACAGTGCAAAATTCTCAAGATTTTCTTTCTCATATTTGTTGGCACAACAACTCTACCAAACCACATCAAAACACCATCTTCAACTGATAATTCTTCTTTCCTTTGTTTAAATGTTTTAATGTTATCTGGTACCTTCTCTGGCCATGCATTTAGCACATAACTTTGTACTAATTTTATCTCCTTGTCCAAACTGCTGTTATGTTTGAGTTCCTTATAGGACACCAATGTCTCAACTTTATCCATGTTTAAAAACTTTATGTCCCTTACATCGGTAGCTTCTTCTCTGATTCTGATGGGAAGACGGGATAGTGCATCAGCACAAACGTTTTCATCTCCTTTCCTGTACTTGATTTGAAAATTGTACTGATTAAGTTCTAGGGCCCATCTCACCAACCTATTGTTCATTACCTTTGGAAGATTCCGGTTTTCTCCAAATATTCTTTGAAGGGGTTTATGATTGGTGACAAGTGTGAAGCTTCGTCCATATACATATTGGTGAAACTTTCTTACAGCAAATAAAATTGCAAGTGCTTCTCGATCAATATTCGAGTATCTTTTCTCAGCATCTGAAAGAGTTCTGCTAGCATACGCGATTGGTTTTTCCAGACCATCTTCACACTTGTGCATTAGGACACTCCCAAGACCGTCTTCTGACGCATCACACACCAACACTAGAGGTTTGGATTCATCATATGGAACAACTGTGTCTTCTTCCGAAAGAATCATTTTGACCTTTGTAAATACTTCATCTTCTTTCTCTGTCCAGATCCATTTCGATCTGTTGCTGGTAAGTCGATGTAACCTTGAGCACAGCGCATGCAACCTAGGGATAAACCTTTCATAATAGTTTATGGATCCTAAAAAAGACCTAAGCTGTTTGACATTTGTAGGTTTAGGTGCCTTTTGTATTGCTTCAATCTTCTCTTTTGTTGGATGGATTCATCGATAATGTGTCCAAGATAGGTGACTGAATTCTGCATGAATCTACATTTTTCTTTCTTCGCTTTTAGCCCTGCGTCACTCATTCGTTTTAATACTTCCTTTAAGTTCATGAGGTGTTCTTCTTTGTTTCGGCCCGTAATGATTACATCATCTAGAAGTACCCCCACTTGTGGTATGCCTTCAAGGAGCTTCTCCATGTATTCCTGAAAGATACCTGGGCTGGAGGTTATACCAAATGGTAGTCTCTTGTATCTATAGTATCCAACGTGCGTGGATATTACCAGATATTTTCTGTCTTCCTCCGATACTTCCATTTGGAGATATGCATCTCTCAAGTCGACAACTGAATACTGCTTCCCTCGAGATACTTTATTCGTCAGTTCCTCAAAAGTTGGCAAAAGTGTTGTATGGGTAACGATGTTTGGGTTTAAGGTTACCCGAAAATCTCCACATATTCTAATTGTGCCATTTTCCTTCTCAACATTTACTGTTGGTGTTGCCCATTCGATAGGAGTTTTGGAAGGATCTACCTTTTCTATAACACCATCACTTACCAGTCTGTTTAGTTCTTGCTCAACTCTACTTCTTAGTGGAAAAGGCACTCTGCGAGCAGGAAAACACCTAGGCTCTGAGTCACTCTTAACATGTATCTTCGCCTGATAGCCTTTAATTGTTCCCAATTCTTTCTTAAATACGTCACTAAACTCTGAAATAACTTGGTTAATTTCCTCTTCGGTTACTGTAGAAGCATTTTCATCTTTATTGGTGTTATCCAACTTACGAATCGTAACACTAGGTGGTAATTTCATGTTGAAGGCAAGCATCCATGGTAATCCAAACAAAGGAGATTCGTTTCCATTTACCACAGCCGCCTTAAGTTTCCTAATCTGTCCATCAACTTTAACATTAACTTCACACTCTCCTAAAACATCCAGGGTATTGTTTCCATAAGCGACAAATTTTGTTTTACATGCCCTCAAATTTGGTGATCCAATTTGTTTCCACAGGGGTGCATCAATCATTGATGCTCTAGCTCCTGAATCAAACTCCATGGTTGTTGGTACTTCATTTAGGGTAACATTAATTTGTGCTCTTGGGATCTTCCTATTAGGTTTAAGTTCAGAAATTCCTAACTGTACCTCTTCTTCCTCAGATTTTATGTCTGTGTCGTTGATTTGGTTCAAATAGGCCTTTTTTGAACGACAATGTCGCGGAAAATGACCCATCTTTCCACAGAAGTGACATTGTTTTGTCTTTTTGGTTCCACATTGTCGTGAGAAATGACCTTGCTTTCCACATGAAAAACACTTAGACTTTTGAGCTGGACAAAATTCTTCACTGTGTACTAGTCCACACTGATTACAATCTTCTGTAGAATGGCTGTATGTTTCTTTTGCCAAAGATCTATTTTTCTTATCATAGTTATGTACCTTGTTAATTACAGGCATAGCTTCTTCTAAAATATTCATTTCCCGCTTAGCTCTATCCATCGCTTCAGCTAAATCTACCAACTCATTTAAAGTTAAACGTGAACCATCTTTATTTATGCCTTCTGGCCACCTTTGCCTGATTTCAACTTCAAACTGTGGAAAGTTAACGCCACCAGCAAATCTATCCCTTACTCTTTCCTCAAAATACCTGTCGTATTTACAGTAGGAGGCTAACTCTTTTAAACGCAAGACGAAATTTGAAAAACTCTCATCATTTCCTCTCACACATTTTTCAAAGTCTAGTCTCGCTGCAAAGATTGTTTTACTAGGTTTATAAACACACCGAAATGTATCAATCAGTTCAGTCATTGGTATGTCATAAATTTGCCTAGGTAAAACGAAGTTAGATACCTTTTTGAGGGGTACAGGTCCAACATATGCTAGAAGAAGATCCCTTCTTGCCTCCTCAGTTTCATTACTGTCATCACCCAATCCCTTTACCTTGCACATCAATTGGAAGTGAGCTTCATAATCCTCCCAGTTCAATTTTTCATCATAGGGTTCTATTGAAAACTTTTCCATTCTCTTTCGCACCTCTTCTTTATTGTTCCAACCAATATCTTCACATCTTTGGGTTCGTTTTTTATTCATCGTCGCCAGTGAAATAAAATAAAGAACTAAGTTAAACTCATTTAATCATAGAACAAAACATAACATTATTTGTTTACATGTTCATAATAAACATAAAACCAAATTATCAGCTGATTCCAATATATTACACTATAATCTTACTAATATTATAAATGTGAAAGTTTGTGTGTTTGTTTGTTTGTTTGTTTGTGTGTTTGAAGTTCAATCACGCATAAACCACTGGACGGATTGGGCTGAAATTTGGCATGATGATAGCTTACATTCCCGATTAACATATAGGCATATTCTTATCTCAGAAATCCTTTCGGGCTCCGCCACAGTGGCTCTGTAATTCCCCATGTTAACCTTATGAGTATTCATATTTAAAGGGAATTAAAGAATTTAGTCAGCTGTTTCAACTTAAAAAGTTGGTTCTATGATATGCAAAAGCATTAAAAAGTGACAAGATTTACAAACAGGGTGCAGCACTATATTTTTTTGCATTTATAAAAACAGCTAATTTGAAATGCACAGCAACAAAAAACTGCGATACGCAAGAGAACTAACTGTCAAAGTAGGATTGTTTATAGTTATGTTTATGTTTTTAATTTCATGAATAATTTGTGATATTTTGCAAATTTTCGATAATTTAAATTTTTCTCTATTTTTAGGTGAAGTGGTAGAACATTATGGCTATGGTAGATGTGTAATACTATAAAATACTGTAAATTTAAAGAGGTAAATTTTATCAAACTGTGTCCTCCCTCATTGCAAATGAAAAGCTTGAGTATAACTGCAATAATCATTTTATTCCTATATGCCAACCCCGTACGAAGGACGGGTACTCTGCTAGTTATATAATATACTTAAACAAATCTACTAGAAATGTGCAAAGGCTCAAATCACAGCATGAATATAGAGCATATTACAGCTATCACATCACATGGGTGTTCACAGTGAGTAGGGGAAGGGGGCTTACAATTTGTAAGGAGTATAATAAATCAATTGTAAATGTTAAGTATGTAACATAGAGCACGAGTCATCGGTCTTTAGGATTTTTTGTGAGGCCGGAAGGCTTACCTGAATGGAAAAGAGCCAAAACTGGCACAGGAACTCTTTCCCTTTCAGGTGAGCCTGCTATCATAAGAAAAATCCTGTATTGTAAATGTCTGGATGTGAATTCCTAATTCCAAACAGCCTGAATTAAGTTTTATCATAGACTAACCAACACAAGTAGACGTCTCATCCCATTGTAAATTTTGAAGCTCGTTTTTCATGTCTAGTTCCAGACAGCCTGAATTAAGTTTTAAATATTTTTAGATTGCCGTTTTAACAGAGCAGGTCTTTTCCTGAACAAGATACTGGTTCCCTCCTGCAGGCGCCACTTGCTGTATGTTTCAGAATCAATATACTCACGGCTGCCAGACAGTAGTCCAGGCACTAGTCGGCAGAACAGTGTGCTCAAGATGGCCAAGAGCCAGTCACTGGAGGCAGAGGGAGTGACTCCTGAAGTGGTCAAGCTGAAGAAGAACCTCAGCTGGAGAGCAGACGACAGTGTCGCTGCTGAAGTTCTCAGCAAGGTCAGTGTGTTACGGTTCCAACTTGAATTTGTCTTTTTCTTCAATTTATATAGATTCTTCAAACAAAAAAAAAACAAAGCTATATATTAATAGCCAAGCATGTTTCTTTTCCTACAGTTACCTAACAATGTACATGTTCTCTCACTGATTTGAGAAAGCAAAGTGGCAAATTCGCTCATCAGTGAGACAATGTTAACATTGTCTCACTCTAATTACTTTGTCTCACTCCAGATTTGCAACGTGAAGGCACGAAATAGTGAGCGCGTAACATGCAGGCAACGTCGTATGCGCGCGAAATACGTTGGCAGCACTGGCTGTAAATCAGCTGGTCAGCTGTTGTACTGTTGTATTTGTCACTTCATATTAAATGTTATATTAAAAGTTCACTTCTGTGTAAAATTAGGTTATGTTTCTTCACAAATTTATTTGTTTTATGGTAACTGTAGGAAAAGTATAATGTGCAACTCGAGTTCAAAGTACAATTGCCTCACTTGAGAAACCATTCCTCACTCGCCTACGGCTCGTGAGTAAGGATTTCTCTCGAGTGAGTCAATTGCTCACTTTTCTCACTAGTTGCACAAATAACTATTAAAACCTTTTTTCTCAGCTCATTTGCATCACAGGGAAAATATACGCATACTGTTAGAAATGTGTTTTCCTGTAGATGTGCAATAGCAACAAAATATAAATAGAAAATCAAAATAAATGGAAGAATTCCAATCACATGTTTTATTAACAGCGTGGCTTGAAAGGAGAAGTCTGTACATATTGTATATGCCACTGGACGAGCTCTAGTACTTATAAAACTGTATTGATAGCCATACAATCTTAGTGATGCTTTGTACTCTGAACCAGAACCTTGACAGGAAATATCATCTTAAATAATGGAACCATGATAACTAATAGTGGCATTTAAATTATCTCTGTTTTTTCAGTCAAAAATTAGTTTCAAAAGGAAAAAGGCATCTGAAGACGAATCTGAAAGTCAGATTACAGCTGAAACTACATTACTACCTCAGGGAGAGGTAAGATGAACTAAGAAAATAAATTTGATCTCTAGACATTATTAATATCAAAGTGATATAAGTGATAAAACTATTTTTATGAAGGTACCGACTCATTTCATTTTATAATAACTAGATATGAGCATGATTTATGTTTCAATAAGGTCTCATTTTAATAACATGTAACTGCAATGGGTTTCTAGAACAAACCACCAAATATTGTCAAAAATATGACTTTTGGATTAATGCTTAAAATTTGTTTTTGAAGCATTGTGTTTAAGCAATTTTCAAATTTCCCAAGAGTAAAATTTAATATGTTAGTGTAGTGTTCTGTATAAATCATACTTCTTGTAAATTTTTTTAGTTGAAATTTGTTAGTTATTTTAAATACCCGTAGTTTAGTTCTTTAACATATAATGAGTTAAGGGAACAACGCAACAACAGGTTATCATATACATAATCAAAAGTGGAAGCCCCTAATTTGGTTAGTTCGTATAGAATGCTTGGTTGCTACAGAAGCACCAGAAGACTAAAAAAGGTGAAGGGAGTGCAGTGGAGACAAAAGATGGTGTTAAGTTAAAAAACCAACTTTACGTCTAATGGATTAAAGGAGTAGAGTAAGGATAATATTTTCCCATTTAATTGCCTTTTCTAAAGTCATAATTGTGTTTGCCAGGTGGATGCTGGAGTGCCTGACTTGACGCTTCACACCATCTTGAACCACATTGCTTACGTGAACCGGGCAGCGGCTCACAGTGACTCTGGATTGGCCCCCACACCCGCCCATCCTACTCCTGCGTCTCGTAAGAAACAGGTGAAGACAGTCCTGCACGTCACGTACGCCACCGCCATCATGGGGCTGCTACTGTGCCTCTTCAACCTCTTCCAACTCTATGGACCATATGGTACATGTATTAAGTTTTGGAAACTTAAAAAGCAATATTGAAACAACTTTTATCACAGAATAATTGTCAGCCATCTATATTCCAAACATCTTTATTACAATTTTTGGATAAATGAACAGTTCGTAAAACGTTATGTAGGCTTATTTCCTGTTAGGTTGGACAGTAAAATGTTTAATGTTTCTGTTCACTTTCATACCCAATCACCATTGTTCAAAACAGATTTGTATTGCAACAGCATCATTTGTCTCAACGAACACTGCATTTTTTCAGGACTGGCAAAATCACACGAGATTCAGCCATGGCCGTGGTTCTGTTTCCAAACTTTGTGTCGAGCTGTTGAGCTAGCGATGGGTTGCGCGATGGCCAACATCACTAAACAGCCCGTCACACATAGACATCAGTACCTTCAACATCACTACTCACACTCCATACGCATTAAGCAGAGAGAGTCCCTTTTCATGTAGACCCTCAATCTCAAGTTGTTGTCTTTATTGTTCCTCGTTATGGTTCTCAAGTGGAGTCATAGAGAAATCTTAGGATTTTCAGACAAAGTTGATCAAAATTGAGTCACATAGATTCTTGTAACCGGCATCACTATTTTGTAATTGGGACTAATCAATCAGCCAGAGTCCCCCAGAACTAGACACAATGTGAGTTGCAGCCATTTAAAATAATATCATACTTAAATTGATCCACCGACCAAGTCCGCAGCGTAAATCACCAATTTCTGTAGACATCAAATTTTACACCAGACTAAATTGAAGGGACAACCTATTGCAGAATCTTTGATGCCACTAATGACGTAAGTGAAACTAAGTGGTAGTTATAATTTTAGAATGTATAGTATGCACTTTTAGATGTTCTTTATTTGTACTAAAAAAACCTACCTCCATATAGATGGGATATCTACTTCAGTATCCCTAAATCAATAGTTGTATCTAAGATTATAAAAAAAATATATAACAAAAAAACCTTTACTTGTCTTTTTATCAGTAATTATGATGGTTTAATTGGATATGTTTTGTCAATTTATTGTCAATGGATTACCTTTGAATTTCACAGCCCAAAGACCTGATTTCACAAGAGTCTTGGACAACAACAACAAAGATAATTACTAATTAGCTAATAAATAAATCAATCAATTGTTGTATTTTAAATTTAAAAAAATGTCTATGTAAGTATACCAGACACAGTAATTCTATGACTTCACTACGATATAAGATTTATTGGTGTTTTGTAAATGTGCGATATCTTTGATTAATGACAATCACTTTCTTGATTGTAAATCCACTTATTCAACGAGCTATATTTGAATATCATCAACATTTTCAGTTAGATAGCTTTAAAAGTTCTTACTATTACTTCACCAAGCTTTAAGTGATATTACTTTTAGGTATTAGTACAAATAGAATGTTATGAATTAAAATTGTTGTCATTTAGTAAGTTCAAATAATGTTAATAATATGTGCCAATACGTTTAGTATGTATATTTTCATTTGTACATTACTACTAGTTGTATTTTGTTATCCATTGTTAGAATTATCAAAATAAACTTAGTTACTTGCTTGGTTTAGTTGACCTAACGAGTTTCGGAGCTCAGTATCAAAACAGAAAGAATCCTGTTGTTTGTAACATGCAGCTTTTGTCCATAGAGTAACAACGCCTTAGTGAGAGTAGATAGTATTTTTATAATCAAAACTCACAAAAATGTTTCAATAGTCACTATTATACATTCTAAGAATGTATATTTAAACTCGGTAATTAATAATTAGTTTTAGCAATTTAGAATAGATTTATTTTGTAATACAGTGCACTACTTGTAGATGATTTTACCAAAAGTTGGATTAGAAATTACATACATTTTAAAGGCTTCATTACAAAGTTATCAAATTTCAATTACACTGTTCTGCTGTCACACTTACCATTAATAGAACTCTTGCAGAATGGTCAAGTCTGATTTTCAACCAAAACATTGTGTTTTGACCCCCAGACCCAGAATATGGGTATCAGTAACAGCATTTTTGTTTTAAAAATGTTTTTTCCAATTAAATTATAATTATCAAGGTATATAGTTGTACAATATTTTTAGTCGACCATTGAGCTATAACTATGGCTCGGGCATTACCTGGTGAAGAAGCCAGTGGTTAGATTAAGGCTCTGATTCTGAAGTTAGTTGATAATGGCTAGTAGGACCACTGCCAAGAGGATATTCTGAAGGAAGATCTAAATTTTTTTATTTTCTAACATAAAAAATACATTTATTTACCTACTGGAGATATTTTAGTCTTAAATATAAAATTCTATTTCAACTAATAAAATAAGATTTTTACAGCAAATAATTTGACGGTTATAGTTTTAATAGTTAGATTTTGTTTATGGTGAGACTTTTTCTCTATGAGAATTCTTTACATTTTTTATTCCCAAATCCTAATTCTATTTACAGTTGAACATGTAAAAGGTTTCAAACAAACTTATCTTTGTCACTATCAAGGTGGCTTAAAATGGCTCTAATTTTCCCATTGAGTCATACCTCAAGATATACACTAACTACATAACCCAATGGGTTGAATAGGAGTAGGCAAGCCTTATTTATAACGATAAGTGTGAAAGGTAAAAGAAAGTTGTTCGAAACGAAGATCAGACAGCTAAGGCCAGGTGCACATAGGCGACTTTGAGTCTAGCAACAGTTGCCCAATTAATAGGGGGACTGTTGTGCAACTCACTCGAAGTCTCTGAAGTCTAGCGACAGTTGTGCAGGAGTGTGCTCACAGAAAACTGTTTAAGACGTAAATCGGACATTACAGAATGGATTTCAGTGATACAACAATAGTACATATTGATGTTTTGTACGTGAAAAAAAGGATGAGATTGTTCCAATCGTTTGTAACTGCCAAGGATACCTTCTCACACAACTTCTTCATCAAATTAACATCAGAATAGGTTTCAATGCCTTCTCAACATGCACACTCATACTTAAAAATATACTTTTTCCAAACAAACTTTACACAACAATTAACCAAGAGAGTGAAAACAAGTGATAGTAGCCAACTGAGATGAGCGACACTAGTTGTATGTGTGTGCATCTGCCGTCTAGATTTGTTTCAATGGATTGGACACCAATCCTTGAGCGACACTCCCATGACAATTGAGTCGCAGAGCTGTCTCCTGGCAAATTGGGCCCCAGAAACAACAGTTGCGTGACTGTACCTTGAATGTTTCCTTGGTGTGCACACTCCAATTTAAAACAATGGTGAACACTTTGGTTGACCAACTGTTGCTAGACTCAGTCGCCTGTGTGCGCCTAGGCTAAATGGATTATTTAATTACAGTTTTTAAATTACCCAAGTAACTTAGTTCTTAAATTGTAACAATAACAAATACAAACAACATGGCTCTGATGCAGTAACGCTAGAGACAATGGTGTAAAAGGGCGTTTCATGAATGCATCTTATCAATTTGGAAATAATCTGAAACATTGTCATTTTTGGTCTTTTCCAGAACCAATCAATGGTTTTGGATAGATTTTTTTCAATTTATATAGGATTTAATCCAAATAGTTTTGGTTGTGGACCTGATGTACAGTACTGTAGTTATGTACAATAAAAGTATTTAAACTATTTTTATCATACATTTTGTAAACCTTTTTTTAATTGGAATAGTCTCGTTACTATAATGCTTACAAATAAAAGAGTGATTATGAAACTTGTTAGTATGTAAAATAGTTGTGTTAATTTACTGTCAATAAATTTCTATTTCAAGAGAAACTTGTAATTAATTTTAATTTTTGGTTTTCTTCATAATTTCAAAACAATATCCCTGTAATCCTGATGTTCTGTATACTGATGTAGCCTATACTGAATTAATTGTATGTAAAATTTCTTGAAATGTTTAAAAAAGTAGTATTTTACATATGTGCTTTACATAATTTTTCACAAGCATTAATAAGTTGGTAAATGTAGGCTATAGTCCATACAAAGTGAGGATAGAGGATTTTTAAGCTTACAAAATACAGTAGCAGCGTATATTTCATTAATAGGTGCAAAAGTGGCATTTTCCGGCGCGTGGTCAAGGTTCATGTGTGACAAAATTTCAAGTGTGAAGCGAAGCCGAGCATGTGCAGTGGCGGATCAAGAGTGGGGGGGGGGGGGGGCGAAGGGGGCGACCGCCCCCCCTCAGGCATACATATACATATATTTTTTACTGCATTTGTAATACAGTAGCATACAAATTGCGAAAAATAATTTGTCACACTAACTTTGGACAAAGAAATGGTATAAAACTGCCATGTTGGGGACTTAGTTTACACAAATTTTTTCAGGGGGGTCCCCCAAACCCCCCTAGGCCCCCTGGTTCGCCCCCCCCCCCCCTTGTGACTGTTCTAGATCAGCCACTGAGCAAGTGAGAGTTATTTTCATATACAAGGTGAAAATAAAGGACGTAGGCCTATTAAAGTATTTTTAGGCCACTCTTTATCTTTGAAATCTACTTCACATATGATTTCATGATAATAGATTTTTTTCTGATTAATAACTACTTTGTCACTTACTTTTGACTTCTTACATATTCTGTAATTTGCACCCGTTGGTGAAGTTTCTGTCTCCTCATATCTTTCCCCTGATTTCTCTGTTGGAAGTAAGTGATTAATTACCTCTGAAGCTGTTTTCATCAAATCATTGTGAATGTTAGACAGTTTGAGCAATTTCAAACACGCACAGAACTACACAGCAAAACAAAATAGTCTGTTTCTGTCACTTCACTGAGCTATCCTTATTGGTTTCTGTATACATTTAGATTGTACATCAATGAAAACTGCTGATTTTAATCATGAAAATAAACCGTAACAAAACACTAGCGCACGTAGTGGATAAATGGAGAACTAATCGAGAGGTCGAGCGAAAGTAAATTTTTAGAGACGGAAAATCACCTGATCGTTTTCCCTTGCTCTAAATTAGAGCTTGGGAAACAACTACTTTCTATGATTTCACCTGTTATCGAAAATAGTTACTTTCGGTTCGGATTGATGAAACCCCCTATTTTCAGGACTGGTAACGTAATTACAAGAGAGTCCGCAAAAGAGTCCTAACAACAATGTTTACGAACAAAAATAAACAATCTAAACTTAAACGAGCATATTACAATAATACAGAACAAAAGGGACGTAGAACAAGCGGATAAATACCGTTGAGCACAATTTACTGCAAAATTAACAACAAAAAGTAGCAGCTAATATGCCTATAAAAATAAATATTTAGGGATCGATTAGCTGAATACAAAAATCTAACAAATTCTTTTATTAATATAGATTAGGCTTAGCACCATTGACTTGACTTAAAGATATTAACATAAAACAGAGTGCTTGTAGGCACGTGTGTAATGTGTATTGGACATTGGCATCACTGCTAAATCGATCAGCTTGCTACTTGCTAGAGCTAGTGTGCGAGTACAACAAAGACAAATGAGTGCTGCAAAAGTAAGTAAATGCTGCAATTAGCTATTTTGCGTGCTTTAATCAGTCATGAAGGGGGGCGCGCAAAGGCCGCGGCCATCAAAGTCAGCGTCATCGACCAGCCGAGGAGCCGACCACCAACCTGACCCACGATTTGTGGTGTGAAAAGACTCCGCAAGGAAGCCTGCTTTGTCAAGTTGTAAGAAATAGTTATTTGTGTAACTAGTGGGCGAAGTTCGTGTTACAATTATATTTCTCCTACAGTTACTATAAATCATATAACTAATCTATATAATTAATACGCTACATTAAACTTTGTCGGTTGAACTCCTCCGCCATTTCTCAACCGCGATTTTATCCATTGACGTCTCATTGGAAAGAGCGTGTCGCGTAGATTTGCAAACTGGCCTTACATTTTTGAAAAAGTCCCTTGGGTTCTGCCCCAGTGGCTTTGAAAGTTCCCATGTTATCCTTATGAAGAACATAATTGTTTACATTTTGATCAGCTGTATAATTTAATTGCTGTTATTTATTTTTCAATTCAATGAAACACATTGGGTACATTTACTGATTTTGTTGAAATTAAATTTACTACTTTAATTTAAATTCATACATATTACAATGTAAAAAATCGAGAAACCTGAACAATTGACATTGTACTGTAATACTTGAGCAATCATTGAAAGAACCGATTTGTTTACCACGAAAACATAGGAAAGTTATTGAACACCACGAAGTAGAAGAAATAGAGAAAACACACTTTAGGTAAGTACTATCGTTATTA